CTGACCAATTTCAAAGCTATAAAACTTCATTAAGCTTGCCCACAGTTCTGCTCTTTCATCTTCTCATCCAAAAGTTTTTAAAAATGTATTCCTTATCATGGTAAATGGAAGCTAAGGGCCTTTCTCTAATGCTTGAAGTGTTGCATAGATACAAAGTTCAATTTGACATCTAGTGAAATGATTGTGACTGTCATGTACAAAAGATAAATAGTCTTTTTATAGACAATCATTTTTGTAAATTAATATGGTTCAAGTTGAATTCTATTAAGTCAATTCCAACCATGTCGTAGAGGGCAAGGCACCAGTTTCCAAGATCATCACCCATGCATATTTTATAGCTAATTTAGCGTACCTACACTCTAGCATCCCCCAAGGCATAACATGATTTTCCATAGGTATTTTACTTGAGCGTGTATATTACATCTATTCTCTCGGTCAGAAGATCTACTTAAGAGAATATTTTCTATCTGAAATTTTGGGAACCCCCAAAGAATCATTAGATTATTATTCTCCAAATAAATAAAAAATTAATTTTTAGTTTCTTAACACTTAAACCTTACCCTTTAAAATTGAATGATCTCTATTCAATCTTGAGACATTCTCTTTTTCAAGTGCATAAAGGGTGCAATTAGGAAACTTTTCTTCTTGAGTTTAATTTAAGAGTTGAAAAGGTTACCAAAATTTTGGGTTCCAAAATTAACCCTAAGTGGTACATTTGGTTCGCGTGAAAATATTTTCACAGGAAAAAATTCTCATGCGGTCAAGTACAGGAATATATAGACATCAATTAGTTATCAGTTGATGTTAAAGATGCACTAGGATCAATTGGTATGAAAATATTTCTATATCTTACCGCATGAGAGAATTTTTTCTACCAAACATGCCACAAGATAAGATTTTACCAAGAGAGTAAATGCATAGCATACCTACAATTATCTTTTGGCTTTTGGCTTTTGGCTTTTCTTTTAATAAGGTTAAGTTGAAAATATTGCCACCAAGAGAGTAAATGGATAACATACTTATAATATCTTTTTGGCTTTTGGCTTTTGGCTTTTATTTTAGTGAGGTTAAGTTGAAAATATTGCCATCCTCAATGAAGAAAACATAAATGATAGACACATATAAGAAGCAATGGATCTAGGATCCCATGTTCAACATTTTCTTGCTCCTTTGCATGATGTATACACAAAGGTCAATGAAAGAAATAGATAGTTGACCAAATCCTCAACGACCTCTACAAAGTTTTGCGTAAAGCACTTCAGGAGAGTTTTGACCAAACCCAAGAAGTCGAGTAGACAAAGCCCAGGCTCTATATGATGTAATTTCTATA